TCCATCCGTCCATCCGTCCATCCGTCCATCCGTCCATCCGTCCATCCATCCATCCGTCCAACATATACAATAACCCATTTATTTATTTGTTCATTCATTTTGTTTCAGTGCTCTTGATGCGGAATCTGAGCGTCTTGTACAGCAAGCATTAGATAGACTAACTGAAGGTAACTAGAGTACTAACAGTACTTATGCAGCTAATTTCTCTTGAGAGTTTTTGAAGTAAAACAATTTAGCTCGAAGAGCCGATCGATCTTGTGACCTTTGCCTTTAATTCGCCTCAACACCAAAGGAAAATACACTGACTGCGCTAGCAGAGAAGGCTTTGCAAGCTTAAAAGTAGAATTTATCTGACGATGAAACGGCACGGCGCGCGGCACCATCAAGGAATAAATGACATACTTTGAACCAGCCACAGCGCACAATATGAAATTTCTCCTACGACAAGACAAGTCCATGAGTTTTTTTCCCAGTGCTACGAAATTTCCTCTAAAGAGATTTGGGCGGATCCATTCATATTTCATTTTGAATTATTTCTTTTTCCAGGTCGCACGGTTATTGTTATAGCACACAGACTTAGCACAATCCAAGGAGCAGGTAGGAAGAATATAGCAAATTAAATCCCAGTTATCTCTAATACGTTACTGATTAATTTTCCTCTCTCTTTTTTAGATAAAATCGTCGTACTCTCACATGGGAAGATTCAAGAGGTAGAGTACCTATTGACTGGATTTCATTTCCTYCTTATTTGCCACCCAACCCACCCGCTCACGGTCACAATACTGATTTCGTATGGAAACAATGACTGTGAGGGGTTGGGTAGGGTGGTTTTAATGATTCCGAGTTCAAGCACTTTGATTGGTTGGTGTGCATTTTCTCACTACTTGAGTGGTTTAGAGTCGAATCTATTTGAAAACATGCACACATAATCTGGACGTAGTGTCACTTCAGTTTCAAATTCCTTCGATTTTTCTTTACTTCATGGCTTTATACGCAGACGTTCTTAATGTCTGTCACGTTTCCCTCCTTCGTGGGAACGAAAACTCAACTCAGCTCAACTCAACTTCTTATTTAGTGCCATAATTTACAATAATACATAAAGTTAAAGACATTTACCTAGTTAAAAGCACAAGCTAATTGCGACAGATAAACTGATTGAAGCAATTAGCTGAAAATTTGAAAATTTACATTTTTAGGTCAGGCACTGAAAAAGTAATAGTAAAATACAAAAAGAGGAGGGGGGAGAAAAAGGGGGAAAACAAAAGATATGATTAAGAGAGCTCATAAATAGAATGCAAGTAAAAGAATTATAATAGAGTATCTTGTTCATAAGAGAAAATTATCTCATTAAAAAGTTTTTTTCTTGAAATTTTTCTTATTGGACTTCTTKAAATTTTCACTCAAAGAATTCCAATATTTTGTAGCAGCAAAACGTTGCGTGACAGACTCTTAGATTGTTTGCACTGGAGGCAATTTGTGAAGTTGTTTCAGGGATACAGGGATTTACGACGATACAGGGGTTTACGATGGTGTTTTCTTTTTGCAACAGCTTGGCACGCATCAACAGCTAATGAAAAAGAAAGGATTATACGCTGAACTGGTCAGACGACAGATGCAAGACGAGGATGAAGACGATGAAGAAATCTAAAAACAAGGCCTGTGTCACACATTCATTACTTTCATAAATCAATTCTTGGAGTGCAACCACACGACTCGAAATCTCTTGAGACATAAATAACAATAAAACAGCCACCATGTTGGTTGAACTAATAAGAAAAGCTTATAAGAAATGCTTTGTTATCGTCAACCAACATGGCGTCTTTTAAGGTGACGTGCACCCCAAGAATACATAAAACTGAGATATCGTTCGTAATCTCCCTATACGAAATGCTGCAAATTTATTTTTTTAATTCTTTATTGATTATTTAACGTGGAACTTGTCTTCCCGAAGTTTAGAGGAAAAATGGTAACCAACGCATCCCGCATTGAATTATGGGTCTAAATTGAAGTGATGGCAGCTGACGTTAATTCCATGACTCTTTGCGGGGCGAGTTTGTCTCCAGTCTTACTGCACAATTACTGAATTCGATGATTAATTCGACTCGTTTATAATCAAACTTTTAGGCAACGATGGAGGTATGTTTTTCTGCCTTTGCTTTAATCCAGGGCTCCCTCCATGGATAAGTTGAATCTCACTTTTTAAAATTCCAATGCAATTTTTTWAAATTAAAATAGCATAGTATCAGCGCATTGTAAAAGAAACTTGCTGTTCAAATTCGTGAATATTTTCTTCATTTGACATGCAATAGACCCTTTTCGAGTTCCAAATTACCGCTGTGTTCCTTGATTACAGACTCATTTGCTCAGGCTTAGCCTCGATTTTGTGAAGAATATTCACGTGTCTCGGTAAAGGTGCGTGGAATTTCAAAGTGTTTGTATTGTTGTAGTTGTGCATTCTTTACTTTACAGTTGGTATTTGTGAATATTTAGACAATGATGCGAGGCTAACCCTGAGTAAATGAGTCTGTAATCAAGGAGCACAGCGGTAATTTGGAACTCGAAAAGTGTCTATTAAGATTTTTGTTACATATATAAAATAAAATGAAATCAGCTCAATGTAGTGGAAGAGTTGTCATGCCATAAACTGAAATTAGTTTTGCCCTGGTTACCGTTTACTGTCATAGCAACAGTTGCTACGCAACAATTAAAGAAACTACAAGTTGCTTTTAATAAGTTTTATTTTCAAATRAAATTTCGGTTATAAATAGTAATAATTTTAATAATAGAAGTGCTTTAAATGTTAATCCCAGTTGTTCTTCTCCCCGCGTGCTCTCTAAAGGACGGTATACATGTAGCAAAAACAACGCGGCCTAGACATAAAGGCACGAGCCGTCGTCTTTATTAGGGCTGCCGTCCTAATAGCAATATTCTGATCGCCAGGATACTCTAGTTCCARGGCAACACTGATAAAACTCAGGATCGTATGCTGTGTCCCCGCAACAGTTAAACGTGTCCCCAGAGCTTGGCTTCCACGTGATTCGCCCGCCACAACAGACGTAAAACTCTGCATCGTATGAGACAGTTCCGCAGCATCTGTCATTTCGTGAAGCACGACCCGTTAGTGTCCCTTGACAGCACATGTAATGCTGAAATATAAGGAATGTTAGGAGACGGATTACTAATATAAATATATAGCATCAAAACTGTCTTTGGGCTGCTTTCCATTAATTAATTAGGGGGAAAAGATCGTTTCTTTCACTCCTTTCTTCTTTCTATCCTTCCTTCTTTCTTTCTTTCTTTCTTCCTTCCTTCCTCCCT